GCCACTTTGTGAGTATTATTATTATTATTATTTAAGAATTATAATTATATTATGTGCATTATTATCTTAATGGAGTCAGAGTCATAGCGCAAAAAATGCTACTTAATGAAAACGAGTCAAGCCCCCAGTCAACCTACTAATACATTGCGGAAGAAATAAAACTTAAGAGACCTTTTTGGTAGCATTTAATCACTAGTATTAGAAGTATTCCATAGCTGGAGAGTCCTGAGAAACTGACAATTTCCTTTTTTTTTGGGTCTTTAATCAACGTTTTAAACTAATATCCACACAGAAATGTGTTTTTAATTGGATATTTAAAAAATGTTTAGCCAACAAAAAAGACAAAAATTGCCAAACAGACTTTAAATTGCCTATGTCTTCAATTTCATCATTTTGACGTTTATTTGACAGAAACGTTATTCATTTTTTCTTAAGTTATCATTCATTAATAAATACGTATAACATCTAAACACATTCCACACACACACACACACACACACACACACACACACACACACACACACACACACACACACACACACACACACACATACACACACACACATACACAACAAGACCTTGTACGTACTCACCTTTGGGTACAAACACAAACTCAGGGAGCTCCCGTGTTCCACAGTTTATGGTGTACGCCTCTCCTTCAATGGGACCCGGGTTCGAAACCTGACAGCGACGGAAAATGTACATCTCTAAATTTGTCTCATTTCACCTCCTTTCCTGCTCTTTAACCATGCTTTGTCGTCTGCTGTCGGCTTTCGACTCCACTTCACTTTCTGCCCCCCCTCCCCTCGCTTTTGCCTCGTCCTCTGGGCTCCTGACTCTTTCTGCAGCCTGCTACTCCTTGGCTTCTGCTTACTGCTGTTTTTCAGCTACACCCCTGATCTTAGGGAAAGTAAGATCCGTCACTCAAAGCCGTGGGACCAGGTCCTTACCCAAGCCAGCCATAACTCCAGTTAGGATGCATAGCATCAACATATGATGCATCCTCACATTTTTACGATTTTCCTCGCTACATTGCCCAATGTGACTTTCAGAATTCCGTAAGTTTTGAAAAACAATTATACATCTGCTTCACATGGGCGTCAAGGCTTAAAATGTCTACTGCCAAGGATTTGGCAAAAAAGTCTTGGATAACATTTATAATAAGTTCAATTTTTATTTGCACCATGCATAGGACAAAAGACATTGCAAATGAATACATCAACTTCATATTGTATTCATGCAAAATGTACATATGTTCATGGCATTTCCATATTTTGATGTGACTGTTTACTTTAAGTGTACAAATGCAACAGTGTTTATTAAGTGGATGTCAGTGTAATTTTGTGTGTGTTTACTGTGGCTGAAAACTATTATTGTTACAAGAGGCAGAGCGCGCTCATATGATCTTAGCAGTTGCGAGCGCCGTAAAACCCTATACTACTAAACAAAAACAAGAGGCAGAAAATGAAAAAATACAATTTTAATAGGTGAGCACTGACGTGTGACAATGAGTCTGTATCACAGAGCAATTCACCAATCTATTTTTTACCTTACTTTGTCACTGCATCTGCATATGTCTCAGTATAATTATTATATTATTAATGGTATTGTGTGTGAGTGTGTGTGAGTGTGTGTGTGTGTGTGTGTGTGTGTGTGTGTGTGTGTGTGTGTGTGTGTATCACATCACGAGAGAGAGAGAGAGAGAGACAGAGAGAGACAGAGAGAGACAGAGAGAGAGAGAGAAAGGGGGGGGGAGGGCAAATGTGACCTAGTCCACATTAAGGTTTTTATCTGTAGTAAATTACGAGTAAGTCCGCTCTAGTGTATGAATGGGGATGAGAACGGAGGATTTCAATTATAATTTTTAAAATTTCAAACTTCTAAAATAACAAAGTTATGAGGTTTTGAGCTTGTTTGCAGTTTTGAGCAGGGCGCCCACAGCTCTCCTGGCCCACGTCTGAATGTCCAGCAATCGCTTGACCACTGTCCGAAACTGCTGGTGCTCACCGCCCTCCAGGATGGAGCGGAGAAAGCTGCAAGAGCCAGAGATGTCGTTGGCCAAGGCCAGAGCCCGGTGCTTGTCCACAGACTGGGGAACGTCGTGGAGCAACACGAAGGTGAACTCGGCCACATGATGTAGCGCGCGTCTGCTGGCTTCACACGATTGGAGAAACCTTGTCACGTGGTTGGTGGTGGAGAAGACGGACTCAGCGTCACCAATGCTGCTGTTTTTGTCCATACCGGGCAGAACCACAAGCTGAAAATAGAAGGCAGTAAACATAATGTTTTAAAAATGCAATCATCACGCACAGGAACTACTCGAAACAAATGAAGATAAAATCTTTTCCCAAAACAAATTAGACTGTGGGAAAAGGAAAGCAGAGGCATTTTCGGTTTTTACCAAACGTATCATTCAATTCTGCAGTGAGTAACAGGCTTTGTTATAAATTGTGGTTGCTTCAATGGCAGAATCTTTAAGAAGCTGTTTAAAGGGGAAAATAATGATCACCAGCTCAAAAATAATATATCTGTATAGCCCTTTCATTGCGATTTTAAAATTATTTTAGGATTACCATTTCACAAATAATACTTTTAAACATCTGTATATCCATTTCACTGTCAACATTACATTATTTTCCCAATTTTCTATCTCATCTTCTCAACTGGTTAATCATTTCACGGTGAAAGGAAAAAAATTCTAGACAATTTATTGTCGCACACTTACATAATCGCTTAGTTATTGTTTTAAAGTTAAGTGTTTAACGTTCCCTTCTATACAATTTAGATCATTCAGAGGTTGAGCTTCGAACCTGTAAATCCAGGCTGAAGGAACTACAAATACCATCAGAGTGACAGAGATACTCTGTAAAATTAGCCTCATACGGAAATCGAACCCAGACTTCTTAACCGCAGCGGCGAAACGCTTAGCCGCTACGCCACATAAGCTGGTCTTTATAGTGATTGGATTGGTGGGAGAGAAGGCAATACTTAGGGAACCGCTAGGGATCAATGTGTTCTGTTTTGAAACAAGAAAACGATAACTGCCTGCTTTTATGTGTATCGTTAAATTCACTCTGTAGCATTCATAATTTCTGGGGTTTGAAGTGTTTCCTCAGACTCACCTCTCTCTTCAATTCGTCGTCTTTGGAGGCTGCAGTAGCAATCGGAAAGGCCAGGGCTTTGATCTCC